TAAACCGTCAGGGCACTTGAGTAATTTGATAACACATCAAATCTCGACAGAAAAGCACCATTTCCCTCTTCGATACACCATAACACGAAACCATTTGCAGAAGAATCGATAAGAGAAAACCATTTGCAGAAGCATCAAATAACATAAACGAGAAAAATGTCTTCCGATGAAAACATGAACGAGACCATTTCCTCACTCTTGACAATGAAAGGTAACCATCGGCTTTTTTCTCGAGTTTTTAACGATTTCGAATCATTTCTAAAATTATCACTGATTACTTGAAATTTCTCGTAATCTTCGTAATTATTAGTTGATTTAGAACTAAAAACATTGTTTTCACACTGTTCATTCTTCAAAAAGGTTGTTTACTTCAATTTTTAATGATACTCGTTCATTCTCGTAACCCTCCTTCGTTATTACTTTATTACTTGAAATTTTTGTAAGAATCATCCATTATAGTTGATATATAAATGATTTTACATCATCTCTTCATTTTTCATCTTATTCAAAACTATTCTGTCAAAATACAAACGTTACTTCACATTTCGCTTATGTTTTCCTAATATTAACTACTTACCCTTACAGAAACAACACCAACAGTGAAAATACATATAAACGAAAAACAAGAACAAATCAAAAAGTAAATAAAATATGTTTTGTTACTTCTGACACACAAAACTAATATTCAAATGTGAATATGTATGTTATATTCATATAAATAGAACATAACTTGCTGCCATACATACATTATTCAATGTGAATACAACAAGAATGACTTATATATGTTCTATTCACATATGAATATAACAAAACATATTCATATGAGAATAAAAAAATATGAATACATATGTTTTATTCAAATATTCATTCGTGAATATGTATGTTATATTCACATATGAATAGAACATAACTTGCTGTCATACATACATTATTCAAATGTGAATACAACAAGAATGACTTATATATGTTCTATTCACATATGAATATAACAAATATATTCATATGTGAATAAAAAAATATGAATACATATGTTTTATTCAAATATTCATTCGTGAATATGTATGTTATATTCACATATGAATAGAACATAACTTGCTGCCATACATACATTATTCAAATGTGAATATAACAAACATATTCATATGAGAATAAAAAAATTGAATACATATGTTTTATTCAAATATTCATTCGTGAATATGTATGTTATATTCACATATGAATAGAACATAACTTGCTGTCATACATACATTATTCAAATGTGAATACAACAAGAATGACTTATATATGTTCTATTCACATATGAATATAACAAAACATATTCATATGAGAATAAAAAATATGAATACTAGTTTTTATTCAAATATTCATTCGTGAATATGTATGTTATATTCACATATGAATAGAACATAACTTGCTGCCATACATCATTTCAAATGTGAATATAACAAAACATATTCATATGAGAATAAAAAATATGAATACATATGTTTTATTCAAATATTCATTCGTGAATATGTATGTTATATTCACATATGAATAGAACAACTTGCTGCCATACATACATTTTCAAATGTGAATACAACAAGAATGACTTATATATTTCTATTCACATATGAATATAAAACATATTCATATGAGAATAAAAAAATATGAATACATATGTTTTATTCAAATATTCATTCGTGAATATGTATGTTTATATCACATATGAATAGAACATAACTTGCTGCAACATACATTATTCAAATGTGAATACAACAAGAATGACTATATATGTTCTATTCACATATGAATATAACAAAACATATTCATATGAGAATAAAAAAATATGAATACATGTTTTTATTCAAATATTCATTCGTGAATATGTATGTTATATTCACATATGAATAGAACATAACTTGCTGCCATACATACATTATTCAAAGTGAATATAACAAAACATATTCATATGAGAATAAAAAAATATGAATACAGATGTTTATTCAAATATTCATTCGTGAATATGTATGTTATATCATATATGAATAGAAACATAACTTGCTCCATACATACATTATTCAAATGTGAATACAACAAGAATGACTTATATATGTTCTATTCACATATGAATATAACAAAACATATTCATATGTGAATAAAAAATATGAATACATATGTTTTATTCAAATATTCATTCGTGAATATCAAACTCATTTATCTTCTACTTACTATTGAATGAAGGTAAGAACACAAAATTTCCGATAAAGATTCACCAACAATGAGAGAAACAAGATCAATGCAGAAAAATCAAAAAGTATAAATACATATCATATCTTATAAATGAATATTCTATATTCATTTATGAATATAATATATTTTCTTTGTAAAATGTATTTCAAAATTATTTATCTTCTACTCACTCTTTCATGAAGGTAAGAAGATTTGTATTTCTGATAAAGACCCCACAACTATGATAGAAACAGATTTGAAGAGGAAAAATGCGAAAGGTACAAAATTCCTATCATATATATCTAATATATTCATATATGAATAAAATTGTATATATTAGTTATATTTTTTGTAATAAATAAATATTAATAAATCAACAAGCATATATCATATTCATATATCAGTAACTTATTCAAATATTATATGTTTTCATTTCCCAGATAAAAAGAAACAAAAGTACCAAAGAAAATAAAGCATCAAAGCAGAAAAAGTCCATCAAAAAGAAAACTCCTGAAAAACAACTACAAAGATTCAGACTCTGATTTTGAAAGTAGTCATCCATCGAAGAAGGCAAAAAAAAGGAGTCACCAATCAAAAAGACAAAAAAACCAATGGTAAAAGAATTTTACTCAATGAAAACAGATGTTCACCAGAGGCATTACTATCTATAATCCTTGGGATGAGCAAAGAACAAAAGAATCTGTAAGATCTATGGGTTTTGGAGCTTTGTTAAAAATGAAAATCACAGATATACCACTGAAGCTGGGATTTTATGTTCTTCAAAAATTTGATTCTGAGAGAATGGTGATAGATATTGAAGGAAAGGAACTGAAAGTAACAGCAGAGTCTGTTCATGACATGTTGGGCATACCAATTGGTGGAACCAAACTTACACAACTGGATCAATGGCCTAAGGATGATACAAGTTATGATGAATGGAAGCAACAATTTAAAAAAGATTCAATCATCCGACTGAGTGCAATCAAAAATGTTATTGTTTCTACCACACAAGCTGATTTCAATTTCAAATTGAACTTCTTAGTTCTTTTTGTCAACACGTTTTGCGAGTCAACATCAATGGGAAGATGCAACCTGTTTCCCTTGAGTTATATTCAAGAAAAACAGATATCAGCAACATAGACTGGTGCAGCTATGTTTTGGACTGTCTTGTCAGAACAAAAAACTCATACATACCATACTCAGATACCAGCTTCTTTGTTGGACCTTCAGCTTTCTTGGTGGTAAGTTATTATAATGTTTATACTCAATTTTTAATAATATTGATTATTCATAAACTAATAGCAATATTCATATATGAATAAGAAAAATATATTTGTTCACACGTAATGCTTTACATTACTTATTCATATATGAATAAGTAAAAAATTATTACTTGTTCATATATGAATATCAATTAGTTATCATTTATGTGCAGTTGTTCTATGCTGATAACATCCACTCAGAAGCTTTAACAGTAAACGTAAACGTCCAACAATTTGTTATTGGAGTTCAGAGAAGATTAGATATCGAGAGACATTTGAACAAGAAAAAGGTAGATTGGACTTGGAGAATTAAACGAAGAATTTGTTAATGAACAAGATGAAGGAGATACAGATCTCGAAGACAGTGATTCTGATAAAGATGAAGATCATTCTGTTGAGGTAATTAGTTTGAACATGTTAATAATATAATGATTACATTAAATTCTAATCATACTTCTTTTTATTACATAGGCATATGAATCAAAAATATCTAAAATGCTTAATAGTTTCGAGAGGATGAAGGAAAGCTGAATTCAAAGCTCAATGATGCGATAACAAAGTTCCCTGAAAAGGAAAGTTTTAGGATTTTCGAAGAAAAGATGACAAAATAATGGTGAAGAAAAAAACAGAAGCACAACTATTTTTTGAATTTCCAAGTAATCAAACTGGATTTGAAGGAATCAATTTGACACCAATAATCGGTCAAAAAACAAATGATCAAAAAGAATGAAGATAAAGAGGGAAATGGTGAAGAAGACAATGATAATGATGGAAGTCAACCAGAAGAAGATTATTTGCTTGATTCAAATGAAGCAGAGAATGAAAGAATAAAGAATGATGGAGATATAATAAAAAGAAGGTGAAACTGAAGTAAAAGAGAAAGATGGAAAGAACAATCAAAATGACAATGATGAAGAGAAAAAGCTGATGATAATGAAGAAACAATAATCATGAAGAGACTATTCAACAAACTGAAAATGAAAATTTGTTGGATAAAGTTGTTGACAACATTGTGGACAATGTCCTTGGAATTGGAATTTCAAGTTTAAATAGTCAAGAAGATGAAATCTGGAATCACCCTGAAATGAAAACTATTTTGGATAATATTGATATAGGTAAATTTTGTCTTACTTTTATTTTAAAAAAATATATAAAAATATTAATACACAATAACAATTTTGTTTATTAAATTTTGACCAGGGTCACCAATGAGTACAGTAAAACTAATACTCTTGCAGAAAAGGAAAATCAGAAGGTGTACATGAACAAGGAACAAAGTTGAAAAAACAAAGGGAGATGATACAGGTAAATGAATGATTTAAAATATATTACAATATTTATATTGATTTTTTTAATAACATTGTTTATTCATAAGTGAATAATACACTATATAAATGAATAAAAAATAAAAAATATTCATATATGATGTATATGTTTCAGGCAAGGAAACTCTGAAGATAGAAATAAAGGAGGAACAGAAGCTAAAACACGAAAGATGGAGGTGAAGATAAACATACAGAAACTGAGAAAGGAAATGCAGAAGATAAAGGTAAATAGTTGAATCACTAATAAATGAATATAATAAGTTTTATTATTCACAAATAAATAACGCAATATACAAAAATAAAATTTTAATATTTCTTATTCATAAATAATGATATGCATTACTTATTCATAAATGAATACATTACTTATTCACATATGAATTACTTAATCAAAGTTCTTTATCTTTCAGGAAAGAAAAAGTCAGAAAATGAAAACAAAAAAGGAGAAAAAGCTGACAAGACAAAAGGAAATAAAGGAGGTAACAATTGGATAAACATTTCAAAATATAAACTCAAATATTATAATTAACTTACAACTATTTATATGATAAATCTCCTGGCATGCAGATACTCATCCAAGCTTTAGTCTAGGTCTCAGTCAAGATTCAGATCAAACTTCAAGTAAAAAATCTAATGAATCTTCACCAAAAAAACCACTTACAAAGAAACAAATCAAAGACGACCATCAGAAGGTTGTTATCAGATTAGCAAAGAAAAATGTTCTTAATCCAAATCCAATCTCTGTATCAATTCCTACTGAAGTAGGACCATCAAAGCATGATCTGGATCAACCAAGAGAGAAGAAGCTTGCTGATGCTTTCAAATCACCTTTCAAATGCAGAATAACAGACACAAAACCCAAACTGACACATCAGGAGAGTATTGTCTGTGAATGGTTGTTCAACTTACAAGGCAATACATCGTAAGTAACTTTATTTTATATACATTCATATATGATTATTATATAGATAATAATCTATGACATTTTGATTATATATTTGCAGAGATGTGGTTGTCCAGACAAAATATGGTCAGATAACAGAAAGAGCAGTTATGGAAAGTCTATATGCAAACACAGAGATTTTTGGAGAAGTTTTAGACACTTGGTCTGATTTACTTAACCACCAAGAACTGGAAAGGGATTTTGGAAATTCACCATACAGACTCTTCTTGAAAGTTGGAGTTTCTGTAAGTTTATGTTCTAACCTTAATTCCTTCCTTATTGATAAATGAATACACCAATATGATGTATTCATTTATGAATATTATTTTTTTTACAACTGAAATTCACATATGATTATACAAAATATGATGTATTCTTTAATATAATTATATATATTCAACTGAAATTCACATATGATTATATTGGTACAGACTGCTTATCTAACTTCAACATTGTCCGATGAAAGAAAGTATGAAAAATTCAAGGAGAACTTTCATGACAGTACCAATGGGTACAAAAAAATCTTGAACATAAAAATATTGACATGGTATGTTAATTAAAGTTGTTTTTTTTATATATATTTTATCAACAAAATACTTACCATTATATACATAAAAACAGGTATTCTTTCCAGTTGTTAAAAGTGCTCACATTTTTGTGATTGTCTTCAACTTAAAGAAACCATCAATTGAAATTCTAGACAACAGTGCAGTTGAGGGGGATTATGAAGGGAAATACGGAGTACTATTGAAACCTTTGGTATGTACCCAATTCACAACAACATAAAAGAACCAATTTATTACATATCTAACTTTTATTTTATTTAATGATCAGAAAAATTTGTTTGTGAGATACTTTAAAGAAATAAACCATCCAAGAGCAAATGCAATCTCAAAAAAAGTATCAAACCCCAACGACTTGAAATGACATGGAGAACAGTTAAAAACAAAGTTGATTGTGGTCTTTGCAATGAGACATATGGAGACCTATGGGACAACCACTCTCAAAGTGGAAACCAGGTCTTCATAAAGAAAGTGCAATTCAACAACTACTTTAGAGAAGCTCAGGCAAAGGTATGCACACATAATGCTAACTTCTGAAATTAACATGTTGAAGGCTAAGGTGTTGGATCTTGCTGAAAAATATCAAAAAGTTGAATTCAAAGTGCGTACTGATCATGCATACAAGGCTATGCAAACAATTCAAAAAAGGTTAAAAGAATATTGATGATTGCTTGTGATGAAGTGTGATGCTATAGAACAGTTTGTGTTGAAGATGAATGGATTTGAAGTACATGTAGACGATTATGCGAAACAAATTTTAGATGGTTTGTTAAATGTTCGTTTTAATATTTTGTGAAATGCTTATGAACAGCTTTTATTATCTTGTGTTGAATGATTATGTAATAGAAACAACTTCGCTTATTTCTGTCAGTTTTTTATATTTAAATATTTTCAAAGTTTATTTATGTTTATTCATAAATGAATACGAATATGATATATTCATTTATGATTAAATTAGGAGTAATATGTCAGTATAACAAAGTTCATATATGAATATAACAAATTTCAGATATGAATATAACTAACTTATTAGTAGAAACAAGTTTGCTTATTTATGTCATTTTTTTTATATTCAAATATTTTCAAAGTTTATTTTTATTTATTCATAAATGAATACGAATATGATATATTCATTTATGAATAAGTTCAAAGTAATATGTTAGTATAACAAAGTTCAGATATTAACATAAAAAAGTTCAGATATGAATATTACTTATTTATTAGTATAACAAATTTCACATATTTGTATTCATTTATGAATAATTTACAATATCAATATAACTTATTTATAGTAATTTTTAAAAAACAAATATCAACATATCAATTTACCATATCAATATAAATGTGTATTATTCATACATGAATATTATTGTTTATTGTTTTTATCTGCATATTCATAATGAATAAACCAAAAAACATAAAAAAAAAACTAAAAATCCCTAACTGTCTTTTGCTGATTTAGCAGCTCCAACTCTTTCTGGACAAGTACGTAAATTGTGTGGAACTCGTTTTCCACATCCTGAACACATTCTATGTTCTTTTTTAGAATTTTCATATGCTACTTCACCTGCACTTGGAATTCTTTTCTTGATTCCAGAACCTTTATTGCTTTGAACTTCAGGAACATGAATATTAATCTCTTCTGGAATAGGAATAGTAACACCCAAAAGCTTGCATACGACTTCACCATCTGTCTTGCTTTTCAATCCAGGAGAAATATAATCACTCTCAAATTCCTTCAACAACATTTGTTGTTTCTCAGCAAACAAAGCCAATCTCTTTTTGTCATCTCTTACAATATCCAAACATGATTCAAAACTATAATATGAATCATTGACTAGCTTACATTCTCACAATCACCTGAATCGGATTGAACAAAACTAAAACGATAATTTCTTGATATCACATCCTTTCTCCATCTTTTTAAAATGTACCTTTCAGGAATTTCTTTAACACCACATCTCATCATTATTGTAAAAGCATGTCTGCATAAAACACCCATACGCTTAAAATGTTCACAACTGCAATTTATTTCTTTCTCTTCAGC